ATTTTAATTTTTAAAGGTCTCCCCTCAGCTAGCAAGGCTGGGGTCTAGGCAGAGATGGAGGGGGGTAGGGTGGGGTTCAGGTCCAAGCCCGATGGGGATGTTCTCAGCTGGGGCTGGGCCAGAGTTAATTCCCCAGGAGACCCTGGTTCTCCCTGGTCCTCTGGAGGCCTGGCCCCCAGGCAGGTGATTGTGCATGCTTATAATCAGATGGATCCTTAGCCTTTAATTCCTCCCTGGCTTGCCCGGTAAATCCCACATAATGAAAGGGCCCATAAATAAAAACTTATCTCATTTTCCATCCCTGCAAAATGACAACCAGACCCACTCTCCGACAGGGTTCATTAGGACCTGGGCCCTTTCAATAGGCTCAACCTTATCTGCTTTGTTAGGGTGGGGGAGGAGAGCATCATGTTTTTTATGCCTCTAAGTCAGAGACAGGAGAAAATAGATGGTCTGGCATTTGACTTGTGTAGAAGAGGTGTGAGGCTGGGTGGGAGGACTGCCCCCTATGGCCAGGCCCTGTGTATGGGCATGCTCACTCCCTCCCTCCCTCCCTCCCTTTCTTCCAGAGTTCAGGAATCCATGCTTTTCTTCCCTCTGATTATCTCTTATTGTGAGTTGAGGCTTGTTTAGGCTGCTTATTGTTTGTCTCTCAGCTCAGTGGGCCCGGGAGGGAGGGAGAGAGAGCACATCATTACAACACTGTATATAGACATAATATGACACTTGAAATGTCTTTATTCTTTTTTAACTTTTGTGAGTGTAATGTTTACTGTTCATTATGTCACTTGCTTTGGCAATGTAAATGTACGTTTTCGTTGCCAATAAAGCCCCTTAAATTGAAATTGAATTGAGCGAGAGAGAGAGAGAGAAAGAATACCTGACCACTGTGACTGCCCCAAACTTAAGGAAATCTTTGACTATGTACAGACTCAGTGAGCATAGCCTTGCTATTGAGAAAGGCCGCCATAGGCAGACCTGGCTCTCAAGAGAAGACAGGCTCTGTGCACAATGCCCACAAAATGAGGTGGAAACTGAGCTGCACTTCCTAACCTCCTGCCAAATGTATGACCATATTAGAGACACATATTTCCCTCAGATTACACAGATCCAAAAAGAATTAGAAAACAAACCCAATTTTGATAAACTCCCTTATCTACTGGGTGAAATACCACAGTGTGCCATCACAGCAGCAAGATTTGTGACCTGTTGCCAAAAGAAAAGGGCAACCAGTGAAGAACAAACACCATTGTAAATACAACCTATATTTATGTTTATTTATTTTCCTTTTTGTACTTGAACTGTTTGCACATCATTACAACACTGAATGTACAGACACTGATTTGATTTGATTTTTGATTTGATTTGATTTGATTTGAATGTAGACATAATATGACATTTGAAATGTCTTTATTCTTTTGGAACTTTTGTGAGTGTAATGTTTACTGTTAATTCTTATTGTTTATTTCACTTTTGTTTATTATCTATTTCACTTGCTTTGCCAATGTTAACATGTGTTTCCCATGCCAATACAGCCCTTAAATTGAATTGAATTGAAATTGAAAGGGGGGGGGAAAGCACAGGCCATGGCAGGAATCCTGTTGTTTTCCTTTAGCAGCACCTCAGATACCAATATGCAAAGGAAAGGTCCAAGTCATTTGCATAGTACAGTACTTAACCTTGGGTGTTAATGTTAACATACTGCAGGCATTACTACCTTTACTGGCATGATTCATCCTTTTAATGTGTGGTTATTACAGCACAGAGACACTTTGCCCCATACTTCCAGCACGTCTGTCCATCTCCCTCATTTAGTGCCTTTGAAAGATTCAAGCTTTTCCTGTTCTGAACAGGTGTCGCTTAGCGAGCAGACCTCCTAAAGACAAACAGGGAGATAGCTTTGTATCAGCCGGCCCATCTGCGACTCTCCGACTCCAGACAATCCCATTGCACATCAGTAACCACCACAGGTTATTGAATTAGACCATCTTGATTTTAAAGAGCAATCCTGTTTTCTAGTAAGCAGTGGACACGCTGAGCTGGCTCAGGCCACGGCTCAGCCTCCATTACTGGCCAGGGGTCATCCTCCTCTCCTCTTCCACTCTAATTGCTATTGACACATTACAAGGACGTGATGCTAATAGATGCATAGTGCACACACGTACAGTTATACAGTAGCTACATGCTAGCACCTCTGTTTAGACTCAGAGATCCATAGAGGGATGTTGGACAAAGGACTGGATAAATGTAGTGAATGAGGGATGTAAAGTAGTAGTTTATGCTGGTGTACTGTGTGTTTTTCCACCCCACCCCTCTGTGGGCTAGCTAGCCGCCCCACGTAGCAGGCAGTGATGTGGGCACTGTGTTCGGGGCATGGTCAGGACAGGCAGTGGAATCTGGAGGAGGGGCTGATGGAACAACAGATTACAGGAAAAGGTGTGAAGGAGATCCTTGTTCAGACAGGATAGGTGATCGTCTCATTGCTACTTCTTCTCATTAGACAAATCACCCACTGGAAAGTTTTTTCATTTTTTTCTAGTTAGCTGCTAAATATGATCCAGGTGTCGTTTGTTTAATGAATTAATTAGTTATTTTATAAGGCATGGATTTTTTAAATATTTGTTTTCATTCGCTGTCGTGTCGTCTACCTCCATTTGGGTGAAATGTCTGCAGAGCGCCTAGCTTTCTCTTATTAATGGAGCAGATAGTGAATGCAGACTGGCCTGGTTACTATCCCCTCACTCAATATGGCAGTCAGCTACAAATCATGTCTGTCTGGCTCAAGTAATCCTCTTAATAAGCCTACTATCTTTCATTCCGTATGCAAACCAACAGAGAGGTCATCAGGGTGGCTCTGTCTGTATAGAGTACAAACAATAAAAACAAGTGGACTTGGGCTGACACAAAATGGCTGCCTACCTTCACTGTTTTCAGTGGAAGATCCTGCAACTACTACTCCCCGCCTTGCCTTCATTACGCTCAGATAATGCAGTTAAACCAATTTCTTATCAAACCAATTATGTGCATTAATTACACCTGATTAGAATTCACTCCTCCAGTCAGGGCAGACAGTCATAATTAGCAAAATGCAGTCAAAATGCAAAGGTGCATGCTAAAAGACTCAGCCCATTGTTTGAGTAGCATAAGTGCATATAGGGTGGAGTGGGGTGGGGGTATTTTCTATCAGACATTCATGAAGAGCGAGGCAGACATGATCAATCTCTCCAGTGTGGGCCAGCCCTCTCTAGTTAATATGGTAGGGGGTGGGGGGAGAGACACACTGTCTGATCACAGCTAGAATTTGCATCTCTAAGTAAATAAGTAAATAAATCAAGTGGCGGCAGCGAATGTGCTAATCAGCCGGGACATGGCGGCTGGGCTGAGCATGATGCCGGGAAACTTTGCTCATGTAATATTCAGTACTGGCTGGGTTAAAGGGCAGGCCAGAGTTATTGGTTTCAGCCCGGTCGCCCCCCGTTTAATCAATGCTGCCTGCATCCCTTTAATACAATTATTAGCTCAGCAGTATCTCGCGATATCATTTTATCTCCTCGCAACTCTAAATTGTGGCCTTTATATTGCTGGGCCACTGGTGCTCGGGGCATGGCAAGCTCCTGAAAGCACAGCTCCCATTTATTATTTCAGAGGCAGAGGATGGCTGTGTTTGAAGCCAGGCTGACCGAGGAGGTGGATGCCAGATCTAAACACAGCTGCATTTCAGTCCCAACCCAGCTGGTGTATTTTGGGCTTCACTGAATACATTGCTTTTCCCTCTCCTCCTCTTCCAGAGTGTGTGTGTATGCGACCATTCAAGTAATTACCTGCGTTTGTCACGTTCGTTTATAGACGGGACGGACCAAGGCGCAGCATGATATGCATACATGTTTATTTATACTGAATAAACACCACGACAAAACAACAAATGAAACGTGAAGTCCAAGGTAGACAAACAACATACCTCACACAGAACAAGATCCCACAACCCACTAGTACCAATAGGCTGCCAAAGTATTGTCCCCAATCAGAGACAACGAGCGACAGCTGCCTCTGATTGGGAACCACACCGGCCAACATAGAAATACACATACTAGATAATAAACATAGATATACACCAACATAGAACATACACACCCTGACTCAACATATACGAGTCCCCTGAGTCAGGGCGTGACAGCGTTGCATACTGCGTGGTGTGCACTCAACGAGAGAGGAGTGGGTGATGTGTCTAGCTGTGTTTTTCTATGCATGATTTCTCTTATTTCAGTAGAAAGGGAGAGGGCTGTAAAATGGCTGTGAAGTTATCAGCAGTACCCTTCACTTCTTCTCTAGTTATGTAAATGTATCATGTGCTGATGGGTGGTTTCTCTGTGTCGGTGTCTAATTATCGCACATTGAATCTATTTTATCCATTAAGTTAAGCCTGTTTCTCCCACTTTCTGACTGGAAGTTAATTAAAAACGGATGTATGATTTGGAGAATGTAAGATTAGGGGTGTTGTTTGGAAGGTGAAGATAAAAGATGGTAACTTCCTGATATGGCAGGAAGATGAATCGTGGGACGACTTATTAGTGCTTGTCTCAGGTATTGTGTTTAAGTACCTAATCTAGCATAATGAGCACTCTGTCATTTACCTAATTAGATCTCACACTTTTGGCTCTCACCCGATGCACTATACATTAAATGTGTTCTTCTCACCTGGGTTCTATAGATAGATGTTCCTTTGATGAAGGTGCTTTTAATCCCCCCTTGTGTTAAGAAAGCATTAGGCGAGGTGAAAATATGGAAGTACTTAGGATGAGAACAATGCTATGGGTTATGTTTATGAAAGGAGTTCTTACAAGCTCAGGGAGAGAGAGTGCATATGTGTATGTGTCCTTGTTGATAACCATGGTCCTTTCATATATGCATTACCATTAGGGTCTCTAACCAATCTTTCTCTCTCTCTTCTCTCTCTGTGTCTTCAGGCCTGGATGCGATGAACGCCTCATGTAGGCATCAGCATGGACAGCTGTGAGTCTCCCGTGGTTTCTGGGACAGACGATGGGCTCGGCTCCTCCACCACCTCCCAGCAACAGCAGCAGCAGCAGCAGCACCCTCCGCAGACCTGGAACGATCACTCTAACTCGCAGGTCCCTCCCAGCAGCCAGCCCTCTTCCCTGGAGCCCCTGTCTCTCTCGGCACCCTACCCCTCTGTGAGAGAGCCACAGCAGCAGCAGCAGCATCCCACCCGGACCCCACCCCTGGCCCACAGCGACAGCTCCGCCTCAGGCCAGCTGCACCCCAGAAGAGAGGAGCTCAACGAGGAGCAGGAGGGAGTGAGCTGCGGAGAGGAAGAAGAAGAATTGGAGGACTTGGATGAGATGGAGATCGACAGCTGTTTCCCAAGTCTGCAGCCCTTCCCTGGAGTACCCATAGCTCCTGGAGGAGGGGGCATGCCCACGCTCCTCCGCCAGCAGCCCAACCAACGAAGGGGTGTGGCGGAGAGCGGGAGTGAGGAAGGAGAGGAGGAGGAAGAAGAGGAGAGCAGTGATGTGGAGAACCTGGCTGGAGAGATAGTCTACCAGCCGGATGGCTCGGCCTACATTGTTGAGAGCCTCAGCCAGCTGATCCAAAGCGGAGGGGGTGCGGTGCCCGGCTTGCTCCCCACAAACTCTCTCCCCGTGGCGGGGAAGCCGGGGGAACCTGCTGGGACCTCATCCTCGGTGTACCCTCAGATCATCAACACGTTCCACATAGCCTCGTCGTTCGGGAAGTGGTTCGGTTCCTCAGACCAAGGTTTCCCCAATACCTCAACCCTGGCAGGCCTCAGTCCTGTCCTGCACAGTTTTCCGCGTCTTCGATGTGCGGCACAAAAGCAACAAGGATTACCTGAACAGCGACGGGTCTGCCAAGAAGTCCTGCGTATCCAAAGATGTTCCCAACAACGTGGATTTCTCCAAATTTGATGGGCTGGCCCTCTATGGCAAGGGAAAGCCCATCCTCATGTGTTTTCTCTGCAAGCTGTCCTTCGGCTACCCGCGCTCTTTCGCCACTCATGCCGTCCACGACCACCGCATGACGCTGTGTGAGGACGAGAGGCGGCTGCTGGGGGACAATAAGGCGTCTGCCATCATCCAAGGCATCGGGAAGGACAAAGAGCCCCTCATCAGCTTCCTGGAACCAAAAAACAAGAGCTGTCCTGTGCCGGCGCCCCCCACCATGGTCCCCATGAACTCTGGCCAGAGCTTCTACGGCACGTTTAGTGGGGTCCACCTGGAGGCAGGGAGCAGCAGTGGGGGCAGCGAGGCCCTCCTGAACAAAGACTCTGACTCCTCCGGCCTCCAGCAGCAGCAAGGCTCCCTCCTCTCTCTGGGGGGGCTGGGCAACCCCAAAGCACCTGCTCTTACCTCAACCCCAGGCCCTGCCAAAGACTCCAACGCCCTGCCCAAGCAGGGAGGGAGAACAGAGGGGCCTGCTGGGAAAGAGGGGATCCGCAGGGGAGAGCACAGGGACAAGGAGGGGCGAGAAGGCAAGGTATGCTTGGCTAGCCAGGAGGGGGGCTCGGAGGAAGAGGAGGAACTGTTATTAGAGGAAGAGGAAGACGAGGTGGAGGAAGAAGGAACTGCGCTGGCCTGTGTTGGTAACAGTAGCAGTGGCGTCGGAGAAGTGGGAGAACCGGCTGTCTCAAACCAAAGCATTTCCAAATCTCCTTTATTAATGCCTAGTAGCGCTCTCCAGCCTTCTGCCTGCCCCTCTGCAGCCAGCCCCACGCTCAACAGCAAAGCCCCAGCTTCCACTTCCTCTTCCTCTGTCAGGGAAGAGGGCTCAGCGGCAGACGGTGGGGGGAGGACCTCGGAGCTCCCTCTGAGCTTTAACTGCCAGGGGCCCACTGTCCCAATGGCGATGGCGGCTGCCGCCAGCAGAGGGAGCGAGGACGACGCCGCGGGCACCTCCTCACCTCTGGCCTCCAACCCCGCCGCCGACGAAAGTGCCAATCGAGATAGTGCCACAGCTCCTGAACCAAATGATTGCCCGGCAGAGGGAGAGGAGGACAGCGGAGCTCTTCTGCACCATCACCACCTGCACCATCACCACCACCACCTCCACCCCTCAGCCCACGCCCACTCTCACTCACACCCCCACCCAGGGGGGTCCTGTGACATGGGCGGCGGCGGTGAGTGCCCTCAGAACCACGGGCCTGGAGGAAGTGGGGTGGAATGTCCCAAATGCGACACCGTCCTGGGCTCCTCGCGGTCCCTGGGCGGACACATGACCATGATGCACTCGCGCAACTCGTGCAAGACACTCAAGTGTCCCAAGTGCAACTGGCATTACAAGTACCAGCAGACCCTGGAGGCCCACATGAAGGAGAAGCACCCAGACTCCGGTGGCTCCTGTGTGTACTGCAGCAGTGGCCAGAGCCACCCGCGTCTGGCCCGAGGAGAGAGCTACACCTGCGGATACAAGCCCTTCCGCTGCGAGGTCAGTACTTCAACCTAGTCAGTTGAAGATCCAACCTAGTCAGTTGAAGTACTGACCTCAGCCTAATGACTAGTATACTGACAGGTGGTAGGACTTTGAATAGAACTTTAGCACAATGTGAAATATGTTGACATGTTGACTGACATGACATATCAATCAACATGTCATGATATGATTTATATTTCATGGACCATAGGTTAGAGGCAACAAAGATTTCCACTTTACAACATGAGCAAAAATGAACATCTTCTCTCTATTTTCTAGGTGTGTAACTACTCGACCACCACCAAGGGCAACCTGAGCATCCACATGCAGTCGGACAAGCACCTGAACAACATGCAGACCCTGCAGAACGGGGGCTCCATCCCCTCTGCTGAGCAGCAGGTGTTTGGCCAGCACCCTGGAGGGGTAGGAGTGGTGACCGTGCCCTCTGTGACCCAGGCCAGCACCCACCACCCGCCCCACCACCACCACCACCCCACCCAGTCCTCCACCCACATGGCGGGGCCCTGCGGTTCCCCCTCGCCCACCAAGCCAAAAAGCAAGCCCACGTGGCGCTGCGAGGTGTGCGACTATGAAACCAACGTGGCGCGGAACCTGCGCATCCACATGACCAGCGAGAAGCACATGCACAACATGATGCTGCTGCAGCAGAACGTGACCCAGATGCAGCATGGTCGGCTGGGCCTGGGGGCCATGCCCTCTCCCTCCGAGGCTGAGCTCTACCAGTACTACCTGACCCAGAACATGAGCCTGCCCCCTGGCCTCAAGATGGACCCGGCTGGAGCTGAGGCCCAGTTCCTACTGGGAGGCTTCCACCTGGACCCCAACATGGCCGCCCTGGCCCCCCAACTAGGTGAGCTCCCTCAGTCCGCCTCTGCAACAGTGGAGCAGTGGGAGCCATTCTGGCTCTTCCCTCAGTACTGCCTAAGGTCACCACAGAGAAAGCAGACTGCAGTTCAGTACGAGTTCACAAGGGGTGGGATCGCTCTCACTGCTGCCAGCTGTTTATTTTTAAACATGAAACACACAGTTATAAACAGTATTCAGCTTTGATTTAAAAAAAATAAATGCTTCACTTTTTAACCCATTTAGACATAGGCTAATTGTGTTCATTTATTTACTGAATGTGTGTAGCGTGGCCAGTAAATGAATGCATAAATGGTAAGTAGTTTTATATTTATATTCAATGATTTATAGTTTTAGTGATGAATATAGAATATAAAAAATCCCCATGAGAAACAGCAGAGCAGCCTTTTCTCTGAACCAACATGCAGGCAAAGGGTTAACCAGGGAACACATTAGCCCTCCCTTCCTCACTCTCACACACACTGTATACACACAATCCTATCTTTCATGTTGGCAGCTCTCTCTTTCTTTCTGTTTCTGTTGCCCTGAGGTACACCTGCCCTACTGAACTTAACATCATTCGCCCTCTTTCCAAGCAAAGAGCACTATTGAGAGAAAAGGGAGAAGGTGAAATAACGGCAATGTATAAAACAGAAGATTTCTAGAGGGGGGACCTAACCCACAACAATCCCCCATTTCTATCTTAGTGTAAAAGACGACTTGTTAGTTGTTATATGACAGTTTCTCTCTCACCAATGTGCCAGGGCCCATGACTTCCATGCCATGTTTTGTCTAGTTGGAGCTGAATCGATATCGTCCCAGTAAAAGAGAGCATACTCTCCAGACAGTGGCCTTGGTATTAGGACAGTGTTTCACTCCAGCTCGGCTGAGAAGAGTGGACCTTTAGACCCAAGGCTAGTGGAGGTATTGGTGGAGCTTGAGTTAGGTACTTTTTGTGTTGATTTTAGAGAAAGCTGAACCTGTTACAGGTGGGTTAAACAACTACCCTAGCCATTAGAGTTATGAGGGCTTTTTTGTCTGCATCAGATATTAATCGGCGTAGGTAAAACTTCTCTGAAAGCTCCTATATGGCCTCAAATATGCTTGCCAAACCCACACATCCACATCCACACTTCTCTTCATAACACACGCAGGAGTTTAGTTTACATTTCCAGTCAATGTCACTCTATCTGGGTCACACTGACTGGGAAAGTCCCCCTGTGATACCTTGTTTTCCTCACAATAGACGGTGTGAGAGAGGGAGGGAGAGATAGAGAGAGAGAGCAAGCGAGCAGCTCAGTGATCCTTCCTCTTGTTCGCCCATGTGCTCCAGGCCTCCACTCCTCTGAACATCAGCGTTTTCATGTCATTATTTCCAAACTGCCACTGAACTCCGCCACTGGAGCTCTCTTTTTTCCCCCAACGTTGTAATTGCAGCAATAAATTGTATCTTGGTCAAAGAAGGGAGGAGTAGAGGGCCCAGCATGGGTAATTCAGTGGAATAGCTGAGTGTTTGGCGTGCCAGTTACAACCCCACAGTTTGTACAGACTTGTCTCCAACTGTCGCCGGTTCAAAGACACGAACAAGAATTGATTGCTGTGACTAATTTTCTATCCCCTCTCTTGCCATCTGGTTCATTTTCCTGTGAGGGAACGTTTAATAAGTATGTTACAGGGAGGAATGACGAGGCATCACTCTCAGCCCTAAAACGACCACGGTGTCATCCCCAGCCACACACATTTTGATTGACTGTACACACTGATACACTCCATCACACACATACAACTCTGCCATCATAACTCTGCCTGTGCAGCTCAAGGACAGAGAGTATCCGTCTGTACCTCCCTCCCTTTTCTCCTCTTTTCCACTGTGTATTTGGGACTTTTGAGGACATTGTCAGACAGAAAGGGAGATGACAAATCCTGACCTCACATGATCTCACCCTCTTGGTAATCCTTATCCCCAGGACTGAGCTGCTGCAGATACAGAGCGAGGGGGGAGAGAACGAGGGGGAGAGAGGGAGGGGGAGTGCATTTGGGCCTTAGCTATTGTGTGCTCTACTTTGTTGGCCAATATACTGCCTGAATGCTGCAGCATCTAGGTAGAGCTCTCTGAAAATCCAGCAAAGCCAGTCCACCACTAATCTTTTGGAAGTTCCACCAAGCCCTGTAGAGACCAAGCCCTGTAGAGACCAAGCCCTGTAGAGAGTTCTAATATAGTTATAGCCTGGACTTGGACTCTGCTCATGTCAAAGAATAGAGTTTCCAAGATTTCCCAATGATGTGTATTTATCTATATAATAATAAATATAATATGCCATTTAGCAGACGCTTTTATCCAAAGCGACTTACAGTCGTGCGTGCATACATTTTTGTGCATGGGTGGTCCCGGGGATCGAACCCACTACCTTGGCGTTACAAGCGCCGTGCTCTACCAGCTGAGCTACAAGCCTTTTAATGTTATTTGAAAGTGAAAATATTTCCACAGCGTCCTGCCTCCCTTTCCCTAAACATTGATACGGACTGACAACGTCTCAGTCAAAATATTATAGGTTATATTTAACAGAGGCCTGCTTACATCTAAAACACATGTAGGGACCGCAGACTGAACCTATTCTCACACAGCCATGAAGGCAGAGGTAATCACTGTGTCTGTGTCGGACCATGGAGTCTACATTGGAAAAGAATGGGAGAGCCACACAGGAATGAGAGAATAAAGATGAGGAAAGGAGAGAAAGAGATAGAGATAGGGGTAGTAACTAGTGAGGGGACTGAAAGAGAGAAGGGGGGCCCTGGCTGGAGAGGTGGATCTGTGAGTGATTTCAGAGGGCTTCACAGAGGTCTCCCTCTCCCGGCTATAAAAACTCAGGTAATGGAGAAAAGTCAGAGAGCAGGCTGCATACTGCAGCAATAAATAAAAAGGGGCTGCTGGAATTAATTTAGTGTAAAGCCAGGCGGGGTCAGCCAGTGCGCTCAGTCTGGGCAGTGATAGATTAAAGATCAGCAAGCAAAAACTCCCCAGCCACTCTTACCTCATTTTTACCGCCTTTTGTTTTTTCCCTCCTCCTCTTCCTCCTCCTCCTCCTCCTCCTCCTCAGACTGTAGATATGGTTGTTTCTGTTGTTGGATCTGGATGTGTGCGTTGTTTTTTTACTTCCCCCCTCCTTCGCTCAGTACCGAGTAGGATTAATCTGGTAGGTGTCTGTATCGATTTAGCAGCTATGCGGAGTCGAAAGAGGCAGGAGAATCCAAACAGAAAAATTATTTTATTTTATTATTATTTTGTGAACAAGGGCACTGGATTTGATTTACAGTAATGTATGCTTGGGAACTCTTTAGTTCTCTTGTAATGATAGAATAACTTTATTTTTCTGCGGAGCTCACGGCCTCTGGAGTTGATTTAGTGCCGGGCCGTGAAAGTGCACCAGTCCAAACAGGACTACGTGTAAATCCTTACTCTGGCGGTGCAACGTTTCTGCTCCCTGTGAAAAAGTCCAGGCTTTCTTTCTCTCGGCTCAAAGGAAGGATAATCTTGATTTAATAAAATTAGGTACATAAATACACACATGCACATTATCCTCAGAGGGGTATTGGAACTAGAGAGCAAATCCACTTTGACTGCAGAGACAAACATGGCTCTTTGTTGAAAGTTTAACCGTACACCTTTCACTTTTCCTAGGACATTTTCCATGCTGAGGGAGGCTCAAAGAACTGAGAGCCCCTTTGGAAAACCCCATGCCTCCACCCCCTCTAAGAAACTTTAAATAACTCCTTATGTCCAGAAAAGTACATGTAACACAAAGTGAAATAGATTGATGGCTAGATAGGAATAACCCCTGAAAGCTGTACTTAGAATTTAGAGCTTCTGAAATTTGAAAATAACCAATTGACCGTGTGCATGTAACCAACTAAGCACTTTCTCCTCTCCCTCTCTCTCTCTCTCTCTCTCTCTCTCTCTCTCTCTCTCTCTCTCTCTCTCTCTCTCTCTCTCTCTCTCTCCTCTCTCTCCTCTCTCCTCTCCCTCTTCTCTCTCTCTCTCTCTCTCGCAATTTCTCTCTTCCCTCCTCTCCCTCTTTCTCTCTCCATCCCTGGTGCTCAGTAGGTGGGGAGATCCCCATGGACGTGCGGCTGGGTGGCGTTGGTGGTCAGTTGGTGTCTGAGGAGCTAATGACCCTGGGGGAGAGCTTGTCTCAGACCAGTGACCCCTCCCTCAAGCTGTTCCAGTGTGCCGTGTGCAACCGCTTCACCACCGACAACCTGGACGTGCTGGGTATGCACATGGGTGCTGAGCGCAGCCTGCCCGAGGAGGAGTGGCGTGCCGTGGTAGGCGACTCGCACCAGTGCAAGCTGTGCCGATACACCACCCAGCTCAAGGCCAACTTCCAGCTGCACTGCAAAACCGACAAGCATGTGCAGAAGTACCAGCTGGTGGCCCACATCAAGGAGGGGGGCAAGGGCAACGAGTGGCGCCTGAAATGCGTAGCCATCGGCAACCCGGTGCACCTGAAGTGCAACGCCTGCGACTACTACACTAACAGCCTGGAGAAGCTGCGCATGCACACCATCAACTCGCGCCACGAGGCCAGCCTCAAGCTGTACAAGGTACGTGCCTCACCCTCCCCTCTCATCCCTACCTTTCACCCTACCTTTCACCCTACCTTTCACCCTACCTTTCACCCTACCTTTCACCTTTCCTCCCTCTTCTCTTCTTCCTTCCTAACGTTACATTCCTCCACAGAACTCCACTGCAGATGCTAGGATTCTGCTCCACTACTAGCCTCTTCCACCAGTCATGAATGATGGCCCTGTTGTCTAACCCTTCTGTTCACAGCGCCCGTAGAGAAGAGTGGGGGGGCTAGACCATGGCAGGTGGAGCCGGGTAAGGAGGATAAGGGGTGAAATCACTAGGAGAGGGATGAAGAAGTGTGAGGAGACAGAGGTTTGGTGTTAATACTCCTCGGAGCGGGAAAGGCAGAATCGTTCTCGACAGCCGTATTGATTTTCGCTGGACTTGGAGCTTCACCTTCTCCTCTAATCATTCCATAATAGCCAATGGATGAACACTCTCTGAACAAATGGCCATAAATCTAACAGGCCTGATTCCACTTAGGCACCTATCCTGTATGTCTGCGGCTAGACTAGGGCCAGTCTGTGTTTAACCCAATCTGGCATGGCTACATAGACGGCTTACACACTCACGCACACACACTAAGACGTAAACAAACACAAACCGTTCACCCAAGCATTCACACAACCACACAACTGTAGCTCATCACACTGCTCTGTCCCCAAACACACTGTGCCCTTATTTACACAAAGACTCCACTCCATTCTCAAGTGTTAGGCTATTGGAAAGTAAATGGGCAAAACAAACTATACAAATACAAACTATATTTGTTTTATACGAGTATAACTCTTATTTTCTGTCTTTTAGCAGTATACCTGCTTTTGGCAAATAGTGTAATTTAGGACAGGGTGAAAAATGAGGAAACATTATTGTGTTTTTTAATCACAGTAAAAAGCTAGGCTAGAATAGACCAATTGAAAACTCACTCCAAAAGCCTGTCTCCTGGCTGTATTGAAAGCGACCTGCTTTATGAATGGTTCCTGGGATCCGCTGATGTTTTTATTGCAGGTTTCCTGTCTGCAAGGCCTTTGTAGTGAGAGAACCTACAGTAACGGAGATAAATGTTTTTTTAACACTTAGGGGGAGGTGTGAGGCTCTGCTCCCAGGTCGACCATTAGGAGGGCCGGAGGGAGCAGGCCTTGTTGACGCTCGGTCAGGGTAGGGTAGGGGCCCGGCCGCCATCCCAGCAGCATCTGGGACTGGAGAGAGACAGAGAGCAGGGTTATAGTGGAGCAGGACTGGAGCAGTGTCTCCACTGCTCATGCCCAGACACGTAGCCAGGATATTTACAAATACCACACTGATTAAAATATGTAACACAATCTGTAGGACATGTTGGGCCTGGCCTGTGGAGGCAGAGAGGCTGAGAGGGGCCTCCTAGTGCCCCAAGCTGGGTTCATCCTCACTGGGCAGGGCTGGGGTTACCCTGGGTGTTTTCTGTACCACTGAGGACAGACAAGGCACTCTGCCCACATGCCAGTGGCACTGTCTCACACCTGACCGAAATAGATGGACCCTGGCATCCTGCATATCCTCCTCACACCTAAGGTGGAAAATACTGTTTTGTCTGAAAGGAGAGTGAAGAGTTTATATTACATTGTCTGTCTGTCTGCCTTCCACTTTACCAAGTGCCAAAACGGTGAAAGGAACAGACTGTTTTTTTCCTTCCCCTAACTTTGCTCTACTGTAGAAAGTTGACATACTGTATGTGGTAATACGACTGGGGAGGATTAAATATGTACAACACATCCTAGCATGATCGTTTTCCACCACTTAAGCCTCTTAAGATGGCTCCATACTTCTTAAAGCCAATTGATCTCCAGAGAAAGGGAAGTATCTGCCCAGGAATGACCTCTGCTCTCACCCCCGGATCACAGAGCCCTGCTGGCCCTCACTAGCAGGCAGCTCCCATCACTCCAGACTTGTAGTGGCGAAAAAAGATGTTCACAACTTGACAATAATTATTACTGCATTTCACGACCCACAAATGTGATTAGTGGATGATAAGTACATGGTTCTGAGGCCTAGCTCACTGCAGCACGGGATGGCTCCCCACTTGACAATGTCACAGCCTTTGTGACGTATTGGATTTACAGTCCTTGTAGAGCAGAGCGAATGACAGCCAGCCAGGCAGGCAGAAACCACACAGCACAGCAGGCCCTTGAGCTCAGCCACAGCCTCAGCCTCAGTCTGGCAGATTATGCAAGGATGAAGAAAGGAAAAAAAGGAAAGTCACATCATTTATTCCTCCCAAAAGAAATGTGATGCGAATAGCAGCATTTTTTAAACCTTTTTGGGGAGAAAATAAATCATAAAGTCAGCATAAACAGGCTGTAAGATGTGGGAGATCCTTGGGACACTTCACCCAAATCAAACTGGTTTGCATTAAACAGGCCCTTTGTGTGCACGGATCCATATAAATTGGAGCCTGTAATTACTAGAATTAAAAAGGAAGGTTTAAACTGAGGGCTAAGCTGGATGGGATAATTTGAGAGTCTGTGGTATGCGGCCCATATTAGGGCTTTCTAAAAATATCCCCCCCCACCACCCCACGTATTGGAATGTTCTGAAAGCCCACAGAAAGCTTGAGCGAGGCATCCTCACCGCACGGACCACCACACAGTGGGGGTGATGCTGCAGCCTCTTCCTGACTCCCTTGTGCTGGGTTTGGAGACACTCACTCTGGAGCCCCACTATGGCTGCAGTTGACACACCCCTCTGCTCTTAAATGAACTTTCACCTTCCCTTCACTTCTCCCCACTCACTGTCGACTTTGTAGTTGCGGTAGTGATGTCATGATGGTCACCCATAAGCGCAAGCAGATGGCCCTACACTACAATATGCAGGTCACCCCAAAGTTAAGCTCTCTTTTATTGGAAGCTTCAGTTCTCCCACTCTCCCTAGGGACACTCTGACCTGGAGAAACCCAACTTCTACTCCTGATTTACAGTTATTCACAGTTATCTTACGGTAGTAGTAGTAACACATCGCTCCAAACATCTCTGATAGAGACTCACACAGGTTTATTAGACGTTCCCAGCAGGCCTCAGGTGCTTGTCTGGATGTGTAAGAGTGGAGGGGAAAGGAGGCTGGTAGCCGGCCAGCTCCCTGCCAGTCCCAGGCCTGAGCTGCTGTACTCTGCCTCAGCCTCTGCTTCTGCTCAGTAAGGATGGGTGGAGCCTGGGCCGGCCAGGCCTCTGCTTCCAGGCAGGAGTTTGGGGAAAAGGGAGGAGCATGGGGGGCTAGCTGGCTACCTTCCTTGTCTCGGGGGCCGGTGCGATCTGCGGTAATTGAGATTGATTGGATGTTATTTTTCCCCTTGCAAATGTAGTCCATTAGCTTGGCACATGCATAATCAGTTTAGAGCGCAGTTAGCTGAATGTAATCATGTTCCTCGGTGTCTGCTCGCACAAAATCCACTCCAGATGCCGCTTGGCCGCGGAAAGAGAGGAAGAAAGTGCCGTCACTATCACATTGGGAATCTTTAACCAAGAAAGCCCCGACACCCCTCCCTCGGTCCTGGTCCCGCTCTATTAAACACACACACAACTGTACAAACTCTCCCACAGACACACACACACACAGACTGTGCACAGTGACTGCCTCCCTTACCCCTGAAAACAGGCCTTCAGAACAGATCATATGTTCTCAAGTCTTAGCTGCTAAGACTAACGCGGTGCTGACTGGGACCCAAGCCTGGCCCACTAACCAGCGCAAAGCATCTGTTTCTTGGACGCCTCTTCTCTCCTTATTTTCCCCTCCAGTGCGATCCAACTGGATAACTGAGCAGTTAGGAAAGAAAATGTGTGCTCTGCAGAGAGCAAATTATCGAAAAAGTATAATGGGAGCAAAGCGTGTGTAATGTAAATGAAGGGATTAGCTGCTACATGGAAATGCATTAAGGTGTTTCACTGATGATCCTACTCAGCACAAGTACTCTGCTCCTCTGCCCCAGACTACACACTGACCTCCCCATTAATGATCATAATTATCAGGATTGATTCCAAATCCTCCTGACCATCAGAGGAGAGGGGAAACCATCATCATCATATAGTATAAGTAATGGTTTCGCCGGCTCCAGAAAGGATTGTTTTTTATTATCAAATAAAAGTGGAGAGAGTAATTTGGAGTTAAAGTCACGGGGGAGCATTTAATCGCTGTTGGGATCCGATCCGTTATGGCCCTTTCATCTGCCAGCCGATCAGCCCAACCTCAGCCCCGTCAGGAGACAGACAGACAGACAGACACTCACCACCACCAGACAGCAGTTAGAGGAGGGGAGGGGGGAGACAGACAGAGAGAGAGAGAGAGAGAGAGAGAGAGAGCGGGGGGGAGGGAGACGGAGAGAGGCTCGTTTAGACAGAGATACTCTGCTAATTATCATGGCTGGCCTGTGATTGTTCAGTAATAGTGCTCAGTGGGAAAGGTTGCAGCGGTTCCAGGAAGAGCTCGGATTTACTGGTACTACCGCTCTAATAAAGCGCTCGCTGCACATCCTGGGAGACAGCCCATTCCCCTATACACACACACACACACACGCACACATGTACACACACACGCACGCACACGCTCCCCCTTTACAGCAATCACCTTTACAGAGGCTAGGGTGAATAGCTACACGCGGCTGTACAGATCACATTCGTTAGTACATAGTGCAGGTCATATGATATTGTGTAGCTCGGTACAAGTGGGTGGTAGCCGGCGTAATGTAAAGCTGAGGAAGTGTTTAAATTGTGTGTGGGGCCTCCTTACACTCCCTCAGTCAACACAGCAATGATCCAGAACCCCCTTCCCCCTCCCACCTCCCTCTGTCGATAGCCTGCCTGCAGGGTGGTGAACTCTAGGCTGCATTGCCTAAACAGAACCCAATCACTCCAGAGGGTGGGTGGGACCACAGGGCTCTCTCCGAGGAATAGAGCTCAGAGGATCAGTCTATGATTGGCTGTAGTGGCTGTCAGTCAGGCTGTGAGGGGTGTGGTATCAGAGCAGAGCGGGCGTGTACAGGACTCTGTGTTTGGCAGTGTGTTGGAATTTCACAAGTCCTCCAGCTCCCACCTCGGAGAAGGCCAGGAGCTGACCCGTGGACCAGCTGCTGCACTGCTGCTGCTGATTGGGAGTGCATCTGCCCCTCCGTGGGTGTTTCGAGGGCCAGCACAGAGAGAGAGAGAGGGAGAGAGGCGCCCATGCAGGGTAGGCCCAGCTTTATTTGAGCCTTTTTCACAAGCTGTTTACCTAGATTGACTAATAGAATGGCTAAATGGAAGAAGGGGGAGCAGGGCCCTGGTTAGAGATAGGGACGTGTCCAGCACTGTGTCATGTCTCTGTAGGCCCACAGAGGGAGGGCCAGAGGGGAGAGGAGTGGGATGTTATGTTTCTGGTTCAGTCGGGAGTTGGAGTTCCTTGGTTATTGTGTTAATGGTTGTTTGTTTTTACTTTAGTTTTTGTCTTTGGGCAGCCGGACAAGAGCAACTGAGCACGCTCCTGCCGGTGTGCAAGGAAGCCGTTGATCCTATTATCTGTTGCCTGATCAGCAGAAAAGGCGGATTGGCGGCTGAAGGGGAGGGTTAGGGGAGGAGGAGGACTCAGAGAGAGGAGGACTAGAGCAGCTCAGTGTATTCTAGAGGGGGGAGTTAGTAGAGTTTTAGGTTTGTTTGGTGCTGTCAGTGCAGGACCTAGATCTACAGGTCTAATCCCCCCCCCCCACACACACACACACAGACCCCCCACCCCCCCTCCTCCCTTCCACCTAAAGACACGGCCTACTGACACCCCTATCACACACCCACACACCCGTATCCCTCTCTCTTTCACTCTCCCCGTCTTTTCCTTTTTTTCAGTCTCTTTCTCTCCTCCCCCCTTCCATTCCTCTACATTCTTTGTCTCCTGAAAATTAATAAACAAGGCAAATACCCGTCACCCACAAAACAAACCAATACGGATTGTAGGCCAGTGGGTGGTCTTGTATGGGGCTCTGCTTAAGGTTAAATATCTTTAATCCAACCAGGCTGGAAAACTAAATATTCTCCCTAGCCAAATCCTCTTTCTGCACCCCCCAACACCCCCACCCCTCCTCTTACACCTCCCTCCTCTCTTTCTCTATTCTCCCCTTAGTCTTCTCTCTCTTTATAGTTGCTCGTTCTTTACTTTGGGGCAAGACGTTTGTTGTTTATGCTCTGGTTAATTTATTCACTCAACAGGGTTTCATAAAACACCTTATAAAGATTAAACACAGGATTTCACCATAAAAATAGAGCAAACAAACATTACTTCTTGAAGG